TCTGTATATGTTCTATGACAGGCACCCAGAGGCCTCTTGGAGTCTGTTACTTAGGGCCAGGGCTTGACCATGTTTTCCTTGACTGGACCCTAAACTGTCTCCAAGAGCTGTTCCAACAACTGCAGGCCACCCTGTGGGAAGAACCCTAGGGAGGCAGAGCTGGGCCCCACAGGCTCTGGAGGCTCACCTGAGTGGACATGTGTAGCTGGCAAATCAGGGGTAGTCTAAGGCGGCCCTGCCCAGAGCCACCTCCCTGGCTAGACACGGGGAGTTTCCTGGGATGTCTCCACACCAGAGGCCAGAGATGATGTTCTAGGGAAAACCAGACCATGGGCCAGGATTTGGGTCTGAGACACCCCTGCCAGCATCCACTCTGTCTGCGTTATGTCCAGAGTCTGTGCAGGAAGGTAGGTCTGGCTCTGTTCTGTTCTGGTCCTAGCTGTGTCCCTGGCCCCATTACCCCTGCTTCAGGGAGAACTGCACCTCATGGCTGGGGCCCCAGTGCAGGGTCAGAGAGCACAGCAGCTGCCCTTTATCCAGGCCTCACTTCAGTTTCAGTTACTTGTCAGTGGGGATCTAAAAATGGAAAATTCTTGAAATAAATATGCACATTTTAAAATTGTGTACAGGTTTTCTGAGTAATGGTGGCATCTCTCTTCCATTCTGTGGAGCCTGGGATATGAGTCACCCCTTTGCCTGGCATATCCACAGGGTATGAGCTACCTACCCAGGCCTTACTTAGATGCCTCCATTATCAGATGGAGAAACCATAGCACACACAGGGTCTTGGACTGAGTCCCCTGTGATTGGGGTGGGGGGTACCGTGTGTCCTGCTGATACTGTCTTGAGGGAGAGTTGCCAGCCTGGGAGTGGGCACAATGCTGATACATGAGGAGCTCAGTGCTGGGCACCTCTGGCCTCCTCTACCACATGCCTGCCCCATGGGACAGCTGTTGTGCTAACCCAACTGGGGACATGGACCTGCCCCACAGCTAATATGGCAGAGTTGGGTTTAGGTCTGCTTTGGAAGACATGCTCCTGGTGAAGGATGGCAGGAGGGTTGCTGTGCAGAATTCAGGGCACTCAGGTAAATTTCAAGTTCAGATCAACACTGTTTCTTAATGTTAGTGTATTTCATGGGATTTACTCATGCTAGAAAGAAGGACCCACTGTTCTTCTGCAAGTCAAGCTTCCTGGGCTTCCTGTAATGAGTCTGGCAACCCTGCTGCAGGCAGCCCCTGTGGGCTCTTGGGCCTGGGCTTAAAGACACATGGATAGGGACTGGCAGGCAGGGTCTGCAGTCTGCCATTTCCTCACTGAAGAGACAGCTTGGGTTTTGTGAGGACAGAGATACTAGAAAGCAGTGCATTAAAGCCATGAGGGATGACTTTTTTTGTTTCCTTTCTGCCAGGATGGTTTAAACAGCACCTGCTTCCACCCTTTCCATACAGAAATTGCTCTAACCTCACCTCAGGCAGGAGTCAGACCTCCACCCTGTGGCCCCACAGAGCTATGTGAGCTACTGATGAACCCACCTTCTTTCTGTCTTAGGTGTGCACGAGCTGCTATGGGGTGGGGAGTGAACCCCAGAAAAGGGGTAGGATAAGCCCCAGCATATCATGGTTATTCTGTGGATCAAAAAAGAGGCCAACAGCTGCTGCTGTAGGCTGTGGAAAGGGACTGGGACTACTGCCTGCACAGCTGGTTCTCACCATTGTCAGAGAAGCTGGAATTCCAGTCTGATTGGCCTTCCTCGTTTGGGAGGAGGGCCTCACACTTCTTTCCCTTCCTACAGGTCTGTGGCAGGGTGCAAGAGTCTTATTGCACAGGTGCACTGGGCCAGGCCACACATAGAGTTGTCCAGAGAGGCATCCAAGGTCAGATTCAAGGTGGAGCCCACTAATAGCCCATCCCAGGGGATGCAAGTGGGATGAGGGCCAAGGTGGGAGGATTTTCATCCCCTTTCACCCAACTGCCCATCCATCTATCTGTGCAATTACCCACATATCTGTCTGCTCACCTACCCAGCCATCTATCCACTGTTATCCATGCATCTGGCCATCACTGTCCATCTACCCATTTACCCATCTCTCCATTCCTCTATTCACCAGTATCTGTAGTTCCATCAATATGCTCACCCATTTATGAATCCACCATCCCTCCATCTTTCCATCTACTACCACCCATGAGTCCATTTATCCACCTACCATCCATCCCTTCTATCCACCTATTCACCCACCTATTCCTCTATCCATCTATTCACCATCATCCACCCAACCACCCATCTACCCGTCCTTCTATTCATCTATCCACCCACATACATCCATCATCCATTGATCCATTATCCATGTATCCCTCCATCCCTCATCATCCATCCACCTATCCCTCTACCCATCCATCCACTACCATTCATAAACCCATTATCCACCCACCATCCATCCTTCTATTCACCCATTCCTTCCTTTATCCAGCTATCCACCACCACCCATCACTAGCCCCCCCATCTGGCTTTCCCCCATCAGCAACTCCACATTCACTTGTTCCTGGTGCTCTAACTCAACAGGCCTTTTCCTTGAGGGCCATAGATGAAGAGACCCAAGTGCCAGTCCTCAAACCTAGACATCATGCAGCAAGCCTTGCCTTGAAGGGCTGGAGCCTTCACTTTTCTCCTGTCAAAGGCATGGCCACCTCTGGAGGGCAGGAGGGCTCCTGGGGATGCCTGCCCAGGTGTGAACGGAGGAGAGCAAGGCTGAGCACACCTCCTCCAGTGCCCATCCCTGAGTTTCCTCTATAAATTAAAAAAAGAAAAAAGAAAAAAGGAAAAACTAGGAAAGAAATGAGCCTTTATTTCTCTGTTTACTCCTTTGCATTTAATGAGCAGTTGTTAACATGACTGAAACCATCTGATGATTTTTACCAAATGGAAAAGTCTCCCCACAGAGGCAATAAAGCAAAGTATTCAGGACCGAGAGGCAGTCATAAAAGGCATTACCCGGCTGTAAACAGAGGCAGTTCGGTGATCTATTACCCTGCTTGGCAGCTCCCAGAGGCTCTGGGATTCCAGGAGTGACTCTAACCCCAGGCGGTATTTACTTCTGCGGCTTCTCAGTGGGTCAGTGTGGGTATAATTCTGTCTCCCAGTTGACCAAAGTTGAGGTTTGGAGCAGGAAGTGCAGGCCCTAAGCACTCTTAATACAGGAGAAGGAGGGTACCTGCCAGGGAGTGCCAAGAAAAGCATACCAGAGGGCCTTGGCAGATGGGGTGACTGTGGACAGAGTGATGGTTGTCCCTGCTCTCCCAGGCCATTATCAGACTGGCCTTCCCTGTGACCCTGATGATGCATTTCTCTGCTATAACTGGCCACAGATTTCTCCTCAGCCAGTCCTTGTCCCATGTGCCACCCTACGATCAGCAGCCCTGGCTGTCTGGTGCCCCTTAGCAGAGGCAACTGTACCCCACAAAGATCTGAAAATCTGAAGGGAATCAAAACTTAACTTGGGGATGGGCCATCCTTTCCCAGGGACCTTGGGCTGAGCTGCTTCTTATGGTACCTGCCTTCTAACACCCGCATTGCAGCCCTGTGCCAGGCAGGTCCCTGGCTTTCAGGGTCAGGGCCCTGTCCCAGCTTCCAGCAGGTTGCAGAGTCAGCCTCTGAATGGCTTGAGAACATCTGTGTCCCTTGTGTCACTGGTCACAGCCTCCAACTCCTGGGTGGGTGAAGCAGGGTGGTCTGCACATCCCCCTCCCTGCTGAAAGAGTGACCGGACCCTCCTCTCCCCCGGCCTGGCTAGGCCAGGTGTGCAGGCCCTGCTGGCTCTGCTGGCCCCAAGTGCATCTGGGGCCAAGAGGATCCCTGCCCATGTACAGCTTGGATCTGTTCCATTCCTGGATAGGAAGAGCAGAGGAACTTGTTTATCTAGGCGGAAATGCTTTGCCTGAGACAGTTTAACCTCTGGCTCCCAGGATGCCAGATGGAAGATGTGTTTCGCTGGCAGATAAGGGAAAGGCAGAGGATGGATTGAGAGCCCCAGGGCATCTCACACCTGCTCCCCACCTGGGCCGGGGAGGGACATGGCCCATGCCCTGAGGTGACCAGCATACCCAGGGTCCTCCCCACCACCTGCTGAAGTAGTGTCAGGACTCACAGGACCACAGCAGCTGTGCATGGATGCTGGTTCAGCCTGGGTAATGGCAGGCAAGGAAGAGGCTGGGCATCTTGGACAGCTGAATCTCCCTCACTCCTGGTTCCGAGGATGGAGCCTCTTGGCCTGTGAAGCCGTAGGTTTGGGTTGCACTGGGGTGCAGCAGGTCACTCAGGGAGGGAGGGTTCTCACCGTGCCCAGCCTGGTCCAGCATGGCTCTGGCTCCAAACCTCCTGGTAGACTGTGTGTCTCCTTGTGCTGAATGACAAGTCCATGCCAAGCTATGGATGCCACTTCTTTAATCCCAGCACCCCCTGCCCTACACCGAGACTTCTTGCCCAGCCCTGTACCTCCTGGACACTCAGGGCCTGCTGTGTCAGGGATGCATCATCCTTGCTTCCATCCCTGTGAAGCTAACGGTGCACAGCTGTCCGCAGCAGCATCTGTCCACACGGACATCAGAGGCCCTGATGACTGCTGCTTCTAAAGGGAACTCCTGAGAGTTTTGGGCAGCCGGCAGGAGAGGGGCTAAGGGCTAAGGCCTGGCTGCTTATGTCCCTCCTGGCGGACATGGGATCTGGGTGCAGGACTTTGTCACTCACTGCCTGTGGGGATGCAGTGAACAACTAGCCCCACTACCCTATCCTTGCTTCCTCCTGGAGGAGTTTCAGCACAGTGTCCTACATAGAACAGGGCAGGCAGCAGCGACAGGTGCCCCTGTCATTGGACAAGGCCTTCTGAAGGAGGGTGAGGCCTACCAACCTCTGCCCAGTATAGAAGGACCAGCAGACTCCAGGGGTGGGGTGGGCTTGGAGGCTGAGGGTGAGCCTGGGGTCACATTGGGGGTAATGAGGAGCCTCAGAGCCACAGTGGTGCAAGGAGCAACCAGTGATCCATGACCTCCAGGTTGCTGAACTGAGACTGGTCTGCAGCAAGGAGCTTCTCTTCTAGCCTCAGAGTCCCTGAATCCCCACCCTGTGGATGCAGGTAGGTCTGTACCTGCAGGAAACAGAAAACGCCCAACTTTCCTGGAGCTCCCATCACAGTGCCCCAGGGAGTGCAGTGCCTGGGCATCTGCCCACTCTTCCCTGCCTGACCACATAGCTGTCTGAGGACATCTGGCAATCTCACCTCTGGGCCACCTCTGGGGCATGGCTGAGCCCACACTCTGTAACCTGGACACCACACAGGTGCCTTGTCCTCTCCTGAACTCTCTGCCCCTCTTCTCCCTCCATCTAGGAGGATCTGGACTTGCCTGCTGGATGGCAGCTGTGGGATAAGAAAACAGTGACAAAGACTCCCTTTGCCAGCACAGAGGTGTCTTAACATGAGGCAGGCTCATGCTGGAGCAGCCTCAGGGAGGCCCCATGTACCCACTGAAGGGTCACTAGAGAGGCAGGACAGCAGGCAGGGCTGCTCCTCTGGTGGGTCCAGCCTCCGACAGGGTGGCAGTCAGCTGAGGACACTGCCATGTTTCAAGCCTGAAGCGTCTTGGTGGGAACCCAGATTCTGTGGCAGAGCCCTTCCACCCTCTCTCAGCACCCTGAGTTAGCAGAACAGCCTGGAGCTGAGCCACTGCATGTGACAGGCTCCCACAGGTGGGCGAATCCTCAGACGGTTGAGGACAGGGTCTTGTGACAGCCAGGGTATCCACGGGAGCTTCAGGGGATCATTTCAGGTGAGTTGTTTGGCTGGGTTAAAGTAATTTTCAGAAAAGTTTATCATGGAAACAGCAGGACATAAACACCTCCCAGCTTGTTGGAGCAGTCTGTGGACAGTGAGGCCCTGAGTTTTTGTGCTAGGGAACACTGCACATCATAGTGAAGGAAGCCCAGGTGCAGAAATGTCCTAATTCTAATGAATAGGCTGGGGAAGGGGGTGCAGGGCCCTGGAATCTCCACTTTGTCTGAAGAGCAGTTGCTGGGGCTAAGGGCTGGTTCCTGGGAGCCTGGCTTGCCCCATGGGCAGGCCTGGCATTGAACCCCCACCCCCACCACATGGACCACAGCGTACCCAGTTGAGATGAGTCAGGACTGTTCCCTAGAGACTTCAGCGCCACGACAGATGCGTGGGAAATGACACCCTGTGCAGCAAGGGCACCTTCTCCACCCTCTCCCTCTCTTGTCCCTCATGTCTCTTGTCACCAGAGCCCTGGCCACCAAGATGTCCTTTCTAGAAGCCAAGAGTTCTTGGATGCAGATTTTAAAGGAAAAATACTCAAGTGTCACCCAAAATTATTTGACAGGAAAATTCCTAGGTTGGCATTCAAAATGCCGCAGAATTGAAACAAATTCCTCCTTGTGAAAGTCAAACCCCTCAGAACCCTCTGCTGCAAGTGGAAGGAAATCAGGGAGCAATTCTGTCAGCCTCAAAAACCAGCTGGGTACTCTTGGCACCCGGAGGCTACTATGGCCCTAGATCAGCAGGTCTTTGCTCCTTACTGCAACCTGCCAGCAGGTTCTAGAGTATTTAGGCAGAGGTACCCTTCCATCCTTGGTCCTGAGGCCCAGCTCAATCCAGCACGGGAGTGGGTGGTGCTGGGGGCTCACACCGCTGCTTTGAAGATTCTGGGGCTCCAGATCCCCACAGCCCCCACCCAGAGCTCACCAAGAACAGCTCTAGCCACCGGCTGCCATGTAGTCCAGCAGTGAGGTCCAGTGTCACCAAGTCCACGCTGGGCCTTTGACTTCAGTGTGTGTGACAGCTTCAGTGTGTGGGGTGCCCATGGACTGGAGAGTGTCTGCTGTGTGTCAGTGCGCTCTGGGACAGACAGACCTCACCAGCAGCAGGCTGCTTCTCTGCCATTTGTTCACCTAAGAGTGAGGCTGTGACCTGGCCCTGAAGCTGCTGAGTGGCCTGCGAGCGCAACAAGCCTTCATCTATTGTGCAGGGCACCCCTGCCGTGCTCCAGCAGGGACCATCACTCCACAGCCTGCCCATGAGACAGACAGACAGATGTGTACTCATCTCCTGCAGGGCCTTTTGCTGCAAAGATGAAGTGTTAAGTATCATCTGTGACATTTTAACTTCTCTGCTGGCCACTACCCAGGCACAGTGACGAGGTCACACATGCAACCACAGGCCAGCTTTGTGCTTCTTTTAAAATTCCCTCCAGCCTAAGAGAACCCTGTGAACAGCCTGACTTCTCTTACCCTAGCTCAGCTCCTATTTTGAGCTGTGGGTTTGTAAACAGGACTCCGACCTTGAAGCTCCAAGAGTCAACCAGACCTTGCACCTGCCCCCCATGACCTCTGCTGGCTGCCTGCCTCGATGCCTGCCAGCCCAGGGTGCCCCAGGCACAGACCAGGCCACTAAATGGACCAAAAGGCAGAGATGGGAGGAGAGAGCTCAGGGAATGTGAGCCTGGGCAGCAAGGACCAGACTGAGAGCATGGTGAGGTGGAAGAGTCTGGAGACCCCCTGGCCTTGCTTCAGTCAGCCCTGGCAACCCCATGGAAGGACCACAGTTGCTTGTTACACAGATGTAGAAATCCTGCCCCTCTGCAGCCTGTGAACAGGGGCGATCCAGGTGCCGGGCATGGTTCCACCCCTCAGGAGGTGGCTGACGGACAGCACTGAAGGCCCACCTCCTGCACCAGGGCTGACCTGACCGACTGCTGTTTAAGCCAGCCAGGGCCTACGGTGGGGAGATTTCAGTGCCCTGTTTCTAAACTCACACCTGATGAGCTGCAGGAGAAGAAAGGGCTATAAAGTCCTGGGGCAGCGGGGAGGTTCAATCCTGCTTGGCCTGGGAGCCTTCTTGGTTTACCTGTCAGGCACAGAATGCCCTTCCTGCAGGCCCCCAGGGAATACCGAGCCATAGAACCAGACAATGGGCCTCCCCCACTGGACCTGGAGACCCCTAGAGAGCCAGTGAGGCTCATTTCCAGGTGCTGGCGTCGTCTGGCATGTGCTTATCTATGGCTACTCACAATGGGGAGGGGAGCAGAAGCCTGAAGGAGGAAAGGTAGGTGCTCTGGTCCCAGCTTCCTAAGGCAGGAGGCCTGGGGGAGGGGTCCTTGTTCCAACTGATCAGAAACAGGTGAGAAGCTGGAGCCAGGAGGGTGTGAAAGCTGGCACAGCTTGTCCTTTGATGCTACTTTGATGTTTTCACTTTTTATGCCTTTTTCCCTCCAGCGCAGGAGGCTGAATCCTTGTGCTGCCTCCCTCTGGTCACAGCAGCTCAGCAACTGGAGGGCAGGCTCTGTCCTGGCAGTGGTGCCTGGGCCTCCCCACTGCTCCTGGGCCAGCTGGTTGTCACCTTCCCTGCAGCAGAGTCCCACAGCAAAGGGTGGATGAGTTACATCACAGAAGAGCCTGTGGCTCACACTCATCCACCCTGCCCAGCCTGAGCTCTGCAGACCTCTGGGTCCACACTGGGTGGGCACCCCAGACCCTCTCTTGCCCCTGCCCCAGTGCCTATGGCTCTTGAGTGGTACCCTCCACTCCCTCTGATAAGACCCATGTGCAGCCTCAGAAGCTTGGATGTTCTGGGAACTGACTGACAAAGCACACTCTCCAGGCTCGTTTCTTCCTGCCTTTCTACAGCCCCACTTGAGATAGGACTGGACACTGTGTTTGTGAACCCTGTCTGCAGTTTTCTTGGTCTGTGCTGCCTTTGGAGGTTGGAATGTACTGGCTTTGGAAGAGACTAACCAGAAGAGGTGAACTGTGTGCATGTAGAGAGCACAGGGGCACTGCGGCTCCAGGTGATGGGGTGACCTGTGAGCACCTCTACTGTCTATGCCTAAGCCTGCAGATTTGTGCTTTCCTGTACTTTTTATCCCTCTGTTCATCTCCTCCTTTTGTGTTTTCTTTCTGCCCACTCTCTGTTTTTCTATTTTTCTATTGTTGCTCTTCTTTCTACTCCTAACCTTCCTAAGTTCCTTCATTTTAGTCACCTATTTAGTAGAATGCAAGTGATTTGGTGTGGCGTTGTTTTGTTGTGCTGGCTGGGGCCTTTTCTCTCCTAAGTGTGGTCCATATGTGTATATGTCCCAGTAAGTTACATGCCTTGGTGTTGCTATGTGGTGCTTTCTTGATCTTGACAATTTTTTTCCTCTCTTCAGGTATGGCCTGAATTCTCCTACCCAAAGACTATCGCCAGTAATTCAAAGGCAATGTCATTGGTTTTAAGTTTTATTTTATAATTTAAAGTGATAAATTTGACTCTAATACTATGAAAATTGATGCCTTTAGCTATATTAGCAAGCCGTAGGATTTGAAGCCTCTTTGGAGTAAGGTCAAATGGGAGCCCTACCTGTACTCAGAAGAATCTGTGAGTCGACTTTGGGGTGTGGGTGTGGCTCTTCGCCTCTGTGGGCCCTCGGTGACCTCAACCCTCTTGCCTGTAAAACTAGGCCCTGAAAAATCAAAGCACTGTGTGGTGAGAGATTCTGCACAGGTCCTTTTGCCAATGCCTGGGTGGATAAGCCCATGTGGGACTCACGCCTCCACAGATCAGCTCCAGCCTCTGCCCTTGGAGCACCCAGGCCACCTCTCCCTCAACAGCACAGGCCCTGGGCTCTGTACCTCTAGGGCACGCCAGAGGGTAGTCCTCATAAGGCTGGCACAAGGTGGGGTCCTTGGGGGTGGTGATCCTTCCTTCCATCTGTAATGAGTTCTCCAGCTCATCGGAGAAATTTTGGGCAGAAATACCCAAATCTACCTGTCTTCTCCTGGATATGAACTTTGAAACTGGAGGAAAGTAGTCTGTCTGTATCTGTGGTTGTCTTTCTGCAGTTTCAGTTAACCACAGTCCATTCTAGTCCAAGCACATTAAATGGAAAATTCCAGGAATAATCGATGGGTTTTAAACTGCATGCCTTTCTGAGTGGCGGGATGAAGTCTTGTGCTGTCCCTTCTCTCCTCCCTGGCACATATGTTGTCCTTCTGTCCAGAGCATCCTCACTGTACATGCTGCCGATCTGTTGCCCTCTTGGTAGCTGTCTTGGTTATCAGAGTGACCGTCACAGTGAAATGTTCAAATGTTCATGTCACATCCGAATGGCAAGTCACAATGCCTGCATTGTCTACCTTCCCTCTCCTGATTTCCATCCTGTGGTCATCACTAGAAGAGTGAGACAATACAAAGGAGAGGGAGAGGGAGAGAGAGAAAAGAGTTCATTGATATGACTTCTAATCACAGTATATTATTATCATTCATTTATGCTATTCTCAGTTACTGTTGCTATAGTCATACAGTCCTTAATTTATAAATTAAGCTATCATAGATAGCAACGTACAGGAAAACATGGTGTATGTAGAGTTCCAGTCTACCAGGGTGTCAGATACCCTCTTGGATAGGGGATGACTTTCCTTCTTGTGCTTGGTAGGCAGGGACAGGATATCGGGTCTCATCAGAGGTGATCCTAGCAGGGGCAGCTGGGTCAGGGGACAGGAGGAAGCCTCTGCCCTCCACTCAGGCAGTGATGACCAGTTTCTGAATCCGTGTCACCACAGCCACCTGCTGCCTGGTCACATGACTCAGTGTGGTGACAGCACAGAACAATTCCACTCCCCTTGTTATGAATGCCCAATCCAAGACCTGTGGCCTTTCATCTTTGTTGTATCTCAGGGCTTTTTCTGTTTGTTTATTTTGAGGTGTAAAAGTTTTAGTTATTTTTTTTTAAACAAGGAGAGAAAAGATAAAAATTATTTTTTAAAAATCAAGCCTTTAAAAACTCTGATATATTTTCTTGGATTGTAGATTTTATAAAAATAAAAAAACCCAGAAATTCTTTAGGAAAAATAATTAATGGCCAATGTTGAAAATGGGATGTTTAACTTCCATTGAAGAAGAACCATTTTTCAGTTTGTAGGGATAGAAAATATACCTTTGTAGCCAAGACACTGTTCCCAGGAGCCCTGGCCATCTGGAGAAGTGGTCCCCACATGAAAATTTAGATTCATGATTGTATTTTAGTGCTTTTGCTTTGGTTTCTCATGAGAAATTTTCTTATTTTGGTGAAGTTATTTAAATTTGAACTAAGCTTGAATGGTGTCCAGAATTCCACATTCTCATTAGAAAGGGTCAGTGCCTTGGCCACATGTGGATGTTCTTCCCTTTTTTTGATGGAGAAAAAATAAAACTTCTGTTCTGTGCTTGATAAGATGGCTTCTAAATTCTATTTAACTTATCCTGAAGATCTTGGTGGAGAAGTCACATTTTTTTCTTTACATTACTTTTCTTTTTCCATTTCCAGCAAGCTAATTGCTGTGGGTGGCTGCTGGGAGCTGATCAGACCCCGGAATATCTGTTGGGAGGGTGATAGGAAATAAAAGAAAGAGACAGAGATAATATTCAATATTTAAGGCAGGACTGGGAGGAATCTGCTTCTAGTAGACAGGCTCAGTGAACTCTATAGTGGACATGTTTTTATTATTCAGCAAGAAGCACAGGGGAGGGAATAATATACTATTCCAGAAACAGTGAGATTAGGGTAGTAAGATAGGGAGCAAGTTTAACATTGCAAAGAAACAAGCTAAGTCCTTCTCCATACCTGGATGCCCGCATTTTATACTGCCTTCAGAATAATGCTATCTTGCCCCAGAAGTGCTGCGCTTATGGCTTTTCCACACAGACAGGAAGTCTGTAACCTTTTACATACTTCTCTGTTCCTGAGGCAAGTCAACACTGAGCCTTGGGACTGTGGCTCCTGTGGCCTGACTCCCACCAATCTATACATATCATGGCTGGTTCCCAGCAGTTCTCCCTTTATGTTTTTGAAACAGCATGACTTATGGTTGAATTGTTTCTAGGTACTGTTGAGTTTTGCTTGCCCTGTGGCAGAAGAACAAGCGATGATGTTCATCACGGCAATGAGCATATTTTCTGGGGTAGGCAGGAGGCCTTGTCTCATCACTAGCCTTTCAGCTCCTGGGTTGTTTTCTTCACTTGTTTCCATGTCATGAGCTTTATTTTCTGTGTGGTCATCAATGGGTGAGGAAATTCCTCTAGGGTCATCTGCGAGAAGGCTTGCACTGACGGGCCTGGCAGCAGCAGACTCCACCACAAATCTGTGAATCTCTTCTGTCTATAGTCACATGTTCTAGGATGGCACTCATAACAGTGTTTCATTATCTCTCAGTACAGAAGCATACCCTCATTCCCACATTATTAACTGCACTGGGCTATTTCACTTTCCTGTTTGGACATGTTTCCATAAAACTTGTGTTCTAGGTGCATCTGTATTTTTTCTTTTTACTGATAGAGTTCAGATGGAGTGTATTTACTTTCTGCCAGTGGATTTAAACATTTAAAATAAAAGTGTCAAGATCCAATTGAGTCTGTAGAGGTGGGCCATACTGCCCCTTTTTGTTTTTGTAATTGTGTTTTTAAGGAAAAATGGGCATGCTCTACTATTGCTTGGCCTTGAAGATTGTAAGGAATGCCTGAAACAGGTTTAATATAGTAGAGCTGAAAAAAGGAGGATATGAGGGTGTTTTTGAGACTCTTCAAACTGATTGGGTGTGTTTCCAATGTCTATTACACTGTACAGGACTTTTACATTGTCAGTCTAGGGATTCACATTTTTGTGATATGAAATAGACTTTTTTTTCAGCTTTAATTGAGTTTATTGGTACATTTTAGGGATACAGTACAGTTACATTCATTGTTGGGATCTTGTACCTCTACATGACAAGTCTTGGTTCTCATTTATTCCCCTTGTCCCTGCCCTCCATTCACCCCTGAAATAGACTTTTAAAAACACTTTATTTTTCCTTAGGGATAAAACTCTAATGTCTTAGTTCACAATGATATACCTGGGATAAAAGAGCTGTAAATATTTGTTCACAACCACTAGCAAACAAATTAATTTTATTCTTGTAAGCTACTGGGTCTGGCACCTCTGGACTTCCCATCTTCTAGCCTGTGCCATCTGTGGGCCTCTGAGCTACCCATCTGCACTGAGCCCCACCACTGGGACCTCAGCGAAACTCCTGCCATGGAAGAGATTGAGCATTTCTTTGGTATCAGGAATCAAATTTGGGTCCTTGTGCTTGCGAGGCAGGTGGTGGAACCACTGAGCTAAATCCCTGGCCAGAGATTGAGCATCTTGGGCCCAGTCTTCCCAGTGCTCCACCTCAGACTCTGACCCCTGTGCATCTCCTGCCTCACCTCAGCTGCCTCCACCCAGCTCCTGCAGGCCTCAGGGGTTGCATCAGGAGAAACAAGCTGAGAGATGCATTGACAAGTTGGAGAAGACAAACAATCTTTCTATCTTGTGAATGGGACAGTTGAAATTCTTTTGTTAAGGTTCTATTATTTTGATGATGATATGAGTGAGAATGACTTGCCAAATCTAAGGAAGTAACATAAGCCACCAAGGAATGAACCTGTTGGTTACCAAAAGCTAAGGGGATGGCAAATTTGAACAGCACCTAATATACCCAATGTAAAAGGGGGGCAGAACAACTTTAAATCACCCATTGCGATCTGAGAAGTAGGTTGAACAAGGGAGGGTTTAAGGTAGCCTTTAGGTAACAATAAATAATTTTTTCAAGATTAGAGCTTGTGTGATCAAAGCATGAGCACTGGAATGGAAGGGCGGATATCTGAGTCTGAAAAAGATTATCACCATAAACAGTTCTGGTTTTATGTCTTAGAAGACCTGTACTTTCAGAAGGCATGAATATATTTAGTTCACTATGAAATTAGCAATAAAGAGTATCACAACTATATGAAACTTTTTGTCCTTTAATTTAGTTTTGTATCAAGAGCAGCATTTTAACAAACTCTCATTGTTTGTTCCACAGAAAATTTATGCATTTGATAATGACCAATGTAAACATGTCAAAATAACGTTTAGCACACTGGGATATGTCCCTCATAATGCTATGAAAACCACCAGGGGTCCCCCTTGTGAATAAAGGCTGGAAAATATTTTTAGGCAGCTGCTCTTTTATTTATCAAGGGAAGTCACATATAACAAACCTACCAAGCCTAGGGGTTCCCATTTAATCATCATAACAATTTTTTAAATGACCCGTGAGAACAAAATTGTGACAATTAACACGTTATTCTTGATGAATGAAAGATTTCTGAGTTTTTATATATGGACAACAATAAGCATTGTATTTGCAAAATCAGTCTTGATAGCTGAGTAAGTTACTTTTCTCTCATTGCTGAGACAAAATACCTAACACCCAAAGTTAAAAAGGAAGAGGTTTATTTGGCTCATGGTTCATAGAGATTTCAGTCCATAATTGGCTGGCTCTGAGGCTGGGATGGCAAATAAGCATTGCAGAGGAGAAAAAACATGGTACACACAAGGCAGCAAAGGTAACAAGAGACCTTTGCCAAGTCTTTCTGCCTCTTTTATCCCATCCAGACTCCTGGGATTAGGGCAGTGCCAAACTAATCACTCGCATGTGGTGGTTTAGTAATCACATGCCCTTAAGCCCAGCATAATACATTCCAGTAACAACAACTTCTGAAAAAGAAAGTCCCACCTCATCTGCATGAAGCTTTGGGGGGGACATCTAAACACAAATCATAACGGCAACCTGGGGGAAGGAAGTATCTCATTAACTTTAATGACATTTATCTATAAGCCAACTTCAGTTATATGCAAATATTTTAAAAATCTAAAAAAAGTAAAAAAAATATTGTTGAGTTCAAATGAAACAATTGTAAGATTGGACAGATGGACAAACACACATAAAACAATTTGCTTATAAAATAAGAGTGCACTCAGATATATTTGGCCAAGTCAAATTATCATTACCCTTTTATAATTTTTAGGTTTGTAACTACAAATAAGACTAGCCAGAACTTTTTGTAGGTCCATTAACAGATATCGGTTGTAAATAGAATCAGAAGGAATGAAATTCTGTTATATCTATAAATATAAAAACAGTTTTTAAGATGTGCCCTAGGCTGATGGCTTTTTCTTTTGCCTTACTTGCTATAAACCTTTTATAACAAACTTGGCTGCAGCTGCTTGGATTTTAAAGTGTCTCTTTTTCTTGTTGTTCTCAGATTGTTATATTTTAAATTTGACTGGCTACCAACCAATAGATTTTTAAGCAACCTTGAATTTAAGTTAACCCTATAATTATAATTTAAGAACTTGTGATGTATAAGAAATGTTTTAAGCACATCAGTTAAACTTCAGTTTAAATTGGAAACCAAAAGTACATTTATCAGTTAGCTAGAATTTGTAATTTAATTTTTTTGTAACCCTTTATGCCTGGCTGGATGTGATTGCAGCTTTTTTTTTACTTTGGTCATTTAACCGTGGGCTGGGGCTACTTCGGCCTGGGGCTGGCCCATGCTTTTTTGTTTTGACTCAGAGCATGGAGTCTGTCACCACCAGCATTGAGACTCTGACACAATATACGGTCTTTGTGCTCAGATCTTGAGCACTCCCAGAATAGATTCTGATTAAGCCTAATGTAAAAGGTCTTTGAACTCTATTATTCATTCTATTCTGTTTTAATTCCTTTAAAACCTTATATTTTATTTTCTGATGTTTATGTATCAGTTGTTGGTGATTATTAGGGTCTTACCTAGTTGTAACAGGAAAACAGCAGGACCCAATAGGGTACCTGGCCATTGTAGCCTGCTGAATAAGCAGCTGATATTTAGACTAGCAAAGATGGATTCTGCTAGCCTCCAAAATGTCTAGAGGCATGGACCACAAGAAGGTCTTTCTTCCCTCCTCAGGGTCTTTTTCCTTTCCCTCTTCAGGAGGAGCTGTGGCAGGTGTATTAATCATCATAGCATATCGGGGTCCTAAGACAGATTTCACATGCTCCATGATGAAAAGGTATCTGGAGCAACTGTCGTCCTCTGGCATGGGCTCTCTTTAGATTTTCACTACTCTATCTCAATTCTCTGCATCCAAAGCTCCTGCCTGAAGAAACCACAGATCATATTTGGTAGTATCTTGCAGCATTTTTGAAAGAGAGTGGGTACTAACCTGAGCCCCAGACTATTTCAATAGCTTTCTTAGCAATTGCATGCATCTCTGTTCCTCTCCTGACAAATTCTGCCCAATTATCTTGATTGAGAAAACTTTTCCCGCAGTGCTACTGCTTACTTTCACTTTTGTATGGCTGTCTCCAAAATTCCTGAGTTCTCTAACATCCATGTCCCTATTTTTTCTGATATTGAAAGTGGATATTCACTGATGTTCCAGGATGTTCTATCAGGCTCCGGCTCTATAGACCAGGGAAGCTGGCACTGGACATTGGTCTGAGTACTGCTGGCTCAGTGCTCCTCTGGGAGGGACCTACTCCCTCTCAGCTGCTGTGGGTTCACCCAGTCCATGAGGCCCCATTCCATGATCTTCCTGTGAAGGTCCTAGCTGTCTTCACTTCCTGTCCAACACCATGACTGAGGCTGTCTTAGGACGTTCCCTAATCTGGTGACCTTTTGGGGCTCCTGGAAGACAAGCCCACAAAAAAGCTGCTAATGCCCCTTAGCTCCACTCCCAGGTCATCTTCCTTCTTTTTTTTTCTCTTCCTCCTTGTCTTTTTTCTTTTTCTGGTTCTGGGGTTTGAACCTAG